CTTTATATTCTTACACCAATTGCATGATTGTAGGTTGCCTTTGATCAGAGGTTCAAGGGGGTAGAAAAATAAACTTTCTTCTACTCTTTTTGATAAACACCAATGAATATAATTGAGAATGAAATTGCAGTTTTTAGCTTTCTTATAAAATAATTGAAGTAAGTGTTCTGGGATTTGTACTATGTTAGCTTTCTTTTCCTTTTAAAAAGAACTGACACATTTTCATTACAGAAAATTTACAAAGAGAAAAATAAAAATGTCTATAATCCCACCGCTAAGAGATAAATGGAAAGGTTTTGATGGATGCCGGAAGGGTGGTCACGCACCATTAGCAGGTTGTGCATTTCATAGCTGCAGAAGTTACCTTCCTCACACACAGACTACAAATGGCAACAGAGCTCATGGAACACACGGCAGGGGCCCTGGCTCTCAGAAGTAGGACACATCAAACACACTCTTATACCACCTAACTCTTCATTTATTAGTATTTCAAATATTTTAGGAATAATAATTAGTTATCTCAACAATATTTTTAGATAGCTAATCGTGTTTTGTTTTTTAATGTATCACAACTCTAAACAAAATTTCTACTAATGAACATGTGTGTGGGGGTTCAATTTTTAAATTTAAATTAGTGTCACAATGAAAATCCTCGTAAGTATATATTTGAACTTTATTGTAATCTGATTTTTCTCAGGTTAAATTCCTAGAAAAAGACTTGATAGAAAAAGAACTTAAATATCTTTTGAAGTATGATATACAAAAATCCACATATAACTATATAGTTTATTGAAGCAGCAGCTAGACCATAAAACAGTATATCATGCAACCCAACACTCACCCACTTTCTTGTATTCCTCTTCAATCACTATCCTCCTTAAAATATTGCCAAGAGAGTCTAAGGCACGATAAGTCTAATAGTGGTTACTAGACTTACAGTGTCTTAGATTATTTTTCCAACCTTTGTACTTCATATAAATGGGATCACATAGTGCTTATTCTTTGTGAGGTTCATTCCTATCATGTCATATAGAGGAGGACTGTTTGTTCCATTACAGATAGAATTCTAATGATAGAACTATACCACAGTTTACCCATCCATTCTACTATTGAAAAACATTCAGATGGTTTCCAGTTTGGTATTACTACAAATAGTACTACTAACCACATTCCTGTACCTGTCTTTTGGTGAATGTATGTAGGCTTTCAGTTAGGCACATGTATAGGTAGGAAATGCATTCAGCTTTAGAAAACTGCCAAACAGTTTTAATAAAGTGCTTTTATCTATTTGCCTTCTCACCAGCAATGTGAGGGTTCTGGTTGTTCCACATCATTGTAAAACTTGTGTTGTCTGTCTTAGACTAGTGAGGGTGCACTGATACTTCGTTATAATTTTAATTCACTTTTTTCCCCTTTTGGCCAATGTAGGCATTTTTTTTTCATATGTTTATCGTTATAGGCCATTTGGAAATCCTCTTTTGTGAAATGCCAGTACAAGTCTTTTGGCCATTTTCTAATGAGCTGTCTTTTTTTTTTTTAATTTTTTTTTATTGTGTTGTAGAAGAGAATCTAAACACTTTGCTTAAAGATCCTCTTCAAAATTTTAGTGGCCAGCATGCATACTATTCTGCTGAGCACCAGGAAAAGGAGATAGTCCTGGAATTCACATAAGCATAAAGAAAATCTGTTGTGTGAAGAAAACCAGAAGGATCTACTTAGACTTTAGTGCATACTTTCATTCTGATGTGGCATTAAAAAAAATAACACTTCCTACAAAAAATTATTAACGTTTCATAGTGCTTGACACAAAATGGAAATAAGTAGATGTTTATCCTGACATTTTATTTAGATGTATTTTTTATAAGTTAAATTGTGTGAATGCTCCAGTCTGGCAATCTGGAATAAAATGACAAGGGGAAAAATATAAAATCTCTAAAGAAGAAATGAAGAAAAAAAATTATTATAAAAATGTTCAAGTTTCAATATGTATCTCTATTTAGATGGTGATGATATATCCAGGGATATATAGCAGATGTGCTGGCCTGTTTCCAAGCCTTGCTTTAAGGTTTTGAATAGGGGAAGACTATTACATTATGTGTGAAATGCCACTTTAGTTCAGAGTCAGCCAGTAAATTGGTAATACCAACTTCATAGTCTTTTCAGGCTGATTAACGGGAAAAGCATTTCCAGGTGCAAATATCCACAAGTTTAAATCATTTCTAGGGGGCAAAAATGAGCAGGAAACATCATATGATCCATCTCTGGGCTCTTCTAGATAACTGTAGACCAAATGATTTTATATTTCTAAAATTAGGGGGGTTTCAAGGCCATAATATTACTCTTTCTCAAGGAAAACAAGAATTTTATGCCATTTTATTTTTTAAGGAGACTACATTAAATTCAGTGGTTAAAAAGAACTAAAATTGAGAGTTAAGTAGACTGAAACTGTAGTGGGCCACTTGGCCATACTTCCAAAATAAATTTACAAATTGTCCAACTTTTATCAATTTTGGATTGGACAAGTTACTGTTGAAGATCTGTCCAACACCTCCTCAGCTGTGAAAGGAGCATCATCCTCAGATACTAAGCACATTGTGCTTGGGAGATGGTTTTATGTGGTTTTGAATCATTTAGGAAAGCACATTCTATAGAGATAAGACCAAAGAGAGCTTCAATCTGTGCATCTGGCTTCACTCTCTGTGTCTTTTACTTTCTGGTGAGGCAGAGCAGTTTTTACTGGTTTGTGGGAAGGTCAATAAAAGAAAGATATTTTAACTTGATAATAAAAGGCAAATAGGAGGACATATAAACAAGTAATGAAGGAAAAGATTTTCCTTTCTCTCAAGAATTTCCTGATGAAATAATCAATTTCACCCAGGTAATCAATACCTTATTAAGGTTGTTTCTCTGACATCTTACCTAAGTTCACACCAAAAGCTTTTTTAAACACGCACGAAAGCATAAAACTTGGGCAACCCCCAATAGTATAGGGTAAAAACTTTGGGGTGACTTTTAAGGAAATTTTGGTTGATTTGATTGATAGAACAGCTGCTCTTTATGGATTTCATCAACTCAAGTGATTTCATCAGCAACTGTAGCCTTTCTTTCTTCTCTGGACTTTTGACCTATGATGATCATCAATTTAAGATCAAGGCACATGATCCAGCATCATTGTTCTGGGATTTATTTTAGAAAGAAAATAAATCAAGAAATGAGGAGTGAGGTCCAAATTAACAAGGAGCATCCTATAGAAGAGATCAGTGGGACATTTATGTGATTGAACTAGGGTTGAAATGATTTACAAATGATATGTGTAAGTCTGTTGTGGTGTATTTTAGTCTCTTGTGTTGGAATGGAAGTACCATCACTTTTAAGTTTAATAAACAATGAAGTAAAATGTCATGGCATTATATGTTGATTTCTTTAAGTGCTCAATAGACATAACTTTTTTTTGATATTTTTTTCATAACTTTTCATAAGGGATTACTACATGATAAGCTTGGTATTCATATGTGGCTTGTGGAAGCATTATCATGACTTCTAATCTAGCCTCATGCTTTCTGTGGCATGAATTGCAATCTCTACATATAGTGGCTATAAAAACAAGATGGATCAAAAAGACCATTACTAACTATACTTGAAAATGAACTCTTACTATAAGAAAAAATGTAAAAGGAGAAATGCAAAATTATTTACTTGAAACTTATCATTTTAATCATGTCTCCTGTCTATAATGCTATCAGCAAGGAGATCTGTTCAGATAATTTTAAATTTGGGTTAGGCACTTAATAAAGTAAGCTTTAAGGTAACTACAGAATTAGAGAAGAGACATTCCACCATAAATCTGAAAAAAATATTAATTTCAGATCTTCTAGATGCTCGGAAGTTTTCAGACAATATTGTTTCTGAAGCATAGAGGCACCATGCCACTGTTATCCTGTTTAAAAGTGAATGAAACTTGCCCTGGCTGGGTGGCTCAGTTGGTTGGAGCATTTTCTCATACACACACAGAAAAAAAAAAAAAAAAAAAAAAAAAAGTTGTGAGTTGGATTCCTGGTAACAAGTGGCAGCCATCTGTAAGCTAGAAAGAGAGGTCTCCCCAGAATGGATAGCTGGAACCTTGATCTTGCCTTCCAGCCTCCAAAGTGAGAGAAAATAAACCCTGTTATTTAAGCCACTCATTCTGGTATTTTGTTAAGGCAGCCTGACCTGACTAATTACAACCTTGTTTCTTTTATCATCTGGGGGATCTCTGTGCCAGTTTTGTCAACTGTAAAAACAGTCTAGTCACGTCTAACCCCCAGGGCAGTTGTAAGGATTAAAGGGAAAAAATAGATATAAAAGTTGCTTGTAATAGAGGCACAAACACAATCAATTTCATCTTACCTCTCCTCCCAACCCCCCCAGCCCTGTTCCAAGGTTGGATATCTCCAGAAATGACAGCTAATTTCATGTTTGGACACCTCTTGGCTTTTTAAAATCCCTTTTGATTATGTCATTTGTGATCTTATATATGTTGGCATTATGAGAGGAAGTGTTAGGGGATCAAAAAAACCAACCCTGTCTTATCTGCTCTTTTTCTAATCTTACTTGAAAAATCAAGCTCGGGTGTCAGAGGAGCATCGGCACGCCTGCTGCGTTGGTGAAGCTGGGCTGGCAAAGACAACCTGAGGTGGCACCTCTACAGAACCCCCATGCCCAGTTGGACCTACCTAACCACTGGGTCACAAGTGCAACAGAAACCCCTGCCCCGCTCAGGGACCAGAGGCGGTCCCAGGAACTGACTAGAGGTACCCTCTCTGTAGGGAGACCCCGAGGAAGGGTCGAAGGGCAGGCTGAGCGTGCTCAGTTCTCTCTCCCAGATTTACTAGTCAGATAAATCACTTCTTCTCCCTACGTGAGGAGGGCAGAGTGGGCGAAAAGGAAGGCGAGGCAAGTAACTTCAAAACCATTGACACCTGGGAGTACAGGTCCCCACGTGGAAACATTAGCAGAAAGAGAAAAGGTTCCCTCAACCGTAACTTCAGTTGTCAAAAATAAAATGTGACTTAAACGTTGAAGGAGAATGCGAAGGCCGGGCCTGTGCTGACATGTTGTAACGTTAAGTCATAAAGGGAAACCTGAAACTGTAAGGGAGTACACCCAGCCACTCGGGGTCGGGGTCCGACCTCAGCAAACACAGGTAGCAGGGAGGGAGATCACACAGCGGAGGGAATTAGAAGCAGATTGAGCTGACAGACAGGTAAGATTTGTACGCAAGTCTATGAGGAGGGGAGAGTCTGTATTTCAACTTCTGATAAATGCTACTAAGAAAATGATATTTTGTCAATATTACAATGCATGTATGCAGGAAAGTCTGGAAGAAGCAACCTTCACCAAATAGGAGTCGGGAAAAAGAAGAAAAGTGGAGGTGGAGATATTTTTTTTGTTTTAAGTAAACAAAGATGAAAGGGAACTTCTTAAAAATGAAAAGCAAAAATGTAAGGAAAGGCCATCTTCTGGCTAGAGCAGCTGTTTTTATATCTGCGGAAGAGATGGTGTAGGCATTTCAAAGAAAAAATAAATAAGGGGAAATTCAGTGCAAGCTACAAGGAAGCATGCCAACAACTAAAGGAAATGAGGCTAAAAGAAAATACAAATTTTGCCTTGGCCCATTTTGCTCAGTGGGTAGAGCATTGGCCTGCTGACTGAAGGGTTGCTGCAGGTTCAGTTCCGGTCAAGGGCATGTGCCTGGGTTGTGGGCTTGTGAGGCAACCAATGGATGTATCTCTCTCACATTGATGTTTCTCTCTGTGTGTGTTGTCCCTGTCCCTTCCACTCTTTCCCAAAATCAGAGGAGAAATATCCTCAGGTGGAGATTAATAAAACTAACAAAAAAGAAAGTAGAATGGCTTATAAAAATTTGAAATGAGTTTTTCTTTCCTCTGACCCATTATGTGCTTTTTCATGGTTAAGATCATTTGATTCGCCTTAGTCCTTTACTGTTGGGAATTGTCAAGTTATTAATTTGTCACATGATCATTGCTATTAAAAACGAATATGCAAAAGCCCTACTGTCTACCGAATTTTGTATTATTTTCATCTGATCTAAGTTGTCATCAGTCATAAAATGTCATATTATTTTACAAACCACGAAGGAAAAAATGCTGCCAATTGAACTCAGACTTCCTAGCAGATTATAAGATCCTTCCAGATCTTAGAAATGGTGACATGTGAAAATATGCATTTTAAAACTGATAAAATATAATATATTATTTTCTTATCATTTACCAGAAGTTGAAATGAACTTACTTATTTGCTGCATCTAATTTCAGTCTCTTTCCCTTGGAATCTCAGCCTCATGAAGGCAGGCACTTCGCCTTCACAGCTGTATTTCTGTCTCGGATAGTGTGCGCACATAATGGGGAATACTGCTGGATGTCTGGCTCTTCTTGCCAAAGGTTGGTGATGAATGCAGAGTATAAAGAGAAGTTGGGGCTTATTTGATACCATTCAGTCACTCATTCAAGGGGTATTCTTCCTAAATGAACCTTCCTACTCAAAAATGTTTTAGGTCCCCCCTCAGCAGTTAGAATAACCCCCATCGCCACCAGCACCACACACACTCAGTTATGGCACTTGGTTTATCCCTCCGTTTAATCTGGGGTGATAGTCCAGCTTGGGTGAATAATGAAACCATTGTGCATAGTTGAAATACCTCAAGGCTTCCCCTAGGAAGGTGCCACATTGAAGAATAACAACATCTCTCAGTAATCCAATCAAGAGCCAAGTTTTCTCCTCGGGTAGGAGCAGGTTACAGTTTCTTTTGATGGGCACCAGATGAAAGAATTGGCTTATATGTAGAGGCCATGCATATGAAAAATATGAATCTCTAACACCAGAAATCACATACAGGGTGGTGAGTGGCTTTCACTAGGGGTGGGTGGAATGCAGCCATGAAGGCTGGTGGAGAAACAGCTGATCTGGGTCTCCAATTACAGGGCGAGGCGGGTGAATCACACAGTATTTAGATCTCTCTCTCTCTCTCTCTCTCTCTCTCTTTCTCTCTCTTAATGTAGGTAATGAAAGAAGAGCAAGCTCTAAGTGCATAAGATGCCATTCCATGGATCATGTTTGTCTTACTGTGCATCACTGGTAAGATGGTCTTGTACAAAGTGATGGAAGAATTGATTTCTATTAATACTATTCTGAATTATTTTTATTTATGATACTATGTATTATTCCTCATAACAATGTTACCTGGTACTTCCAGAATTTTTAAAAATAATGCTTTACATTTCTTCTTTTAAAATATATTTTACTGATTTTTTTTACAGAGCGGAAGGGAGAGGGATAGAGAGTCAGAAACATTGATGTGAGAGAAACATCGATCAGCTGCCTCCTGCACACCCCCAACTGGGTACATGGCCTTGACTGGAATCGAACCTGGGACCTTTCAGTCTACAGACTGACGCTCTATCCACTGAGCCAAACCGGTTAGGGCTAATGCTTTACATTTCTACATTGCTGCACTTTATCATGCTCCTGAAGTAAATAATATATCATAGAAATTTTTTTAAATTTATTTTTATTTTTTTAAAATATATTTTATTGATTTTCCACAGAGAGGAAGGAAGAGGGATAGAGAGCTAGAAACATCGATGAGAGAGAAATATCGACCAGCTGCCTCCTGCATACCCCCTACTGGGGATGTGCAAGCAACCAATGTACATGCCCTTGACCGGAATCGAACCTGGGACTTTTCAGTCCACAGACCGATGCTCTATCCACTGAGCCAAACCGGTTTCAGCATGGCCTCTAACTTTAAAACACCCAGCTTCAATAATTGGCCTACCACCTACTGGCTATGAAATTTTAGAAGAATTACTTATCTTCTCTGTGCTTCAGTTTTGTTTTTATCTTTAAGGTGAGGATAAAACATTAATGCCTCCAGTTGTCGTAAGGATTAAGTTGGATAAGATTAAGAGTAATGTCATCTCTCTGGATATCAGAGTCCTTAGGAGGAAAATCGTGTCTCTAAGGATCCTCGCAGCTGTTTTGTTGCTGTGTTCATCCTTTAGTTCCTGGGACCCTGAGGAGCCATGTGCTACCCTGATAGTTGGAAAGCCACAATGTACATGAGAGAGAGCTTCAGACCAAAGCCTATCCTGACCAGGTGAGTTCAGTCCCTGAGCCAAGGGCTAGGTCCAACAATCATCCATTTTTCATGTGAAATACTTCTCCAGTGTATGTTCATAGTACTATTATCATCACAATGTATTTATTGCGTGCCATCCATCGATGCAGGGCTGTGTGGAACACACACCAGACACGACTGTCCCCCAAGGAAATGGAAATGGAATTCAGATGCTCACGATTCATGAGATAACAGGAAAGAGGCTCACGGTGTGCGAACACGGTTTGTGATGAGATCAGCCTTGGAAGGCTCAGCTAAAGGAAGCGCTCCGTAGGAGAGACGCGGGGAGAGGGTGCTTTGGCACTAAAGGAGCAGGACGTGGTTCCAGGTAGAGGGAGCATCGCGAAGGTCAGCAGCAAAGGAAGTAAGGGATGGGGGGAGCGGTGCAGACAACACCAGGATCATGTCAGTCGTCAGAAAGGAGCCTGATGGGAGGAGCAGGAGGAGAACAAACCAGGGAGTTGAGAGCTGCACATTGGTTGCCATGTTCTGTTTATCCTGGGACAGACGGAAAGAATATGTCCTGCCTTGTGAAGCGAAGTGGCTCCACACAGCATCCTAGCCCAGGAGAGGAAAGTCACGTCACATCTGTACCGGTTTTTCATCTCAGTTCAGTTTTGTTTGTTCAAGTTAATGAACATGATGTGCTATTGTTATGCAGTGATGCCAGAAAAAGTTTCACCAGAGACTTCAAAAATGTTTTTGGTGCTGTGCCCATTTCGTGTGGTTTCACTTTCCCCAGCTTCTCTCCTCCCTTCCCGCTAGCGCTCCCTTCCCCCGCAAAGCCCTTCTCTGATATTGATGGATTAGTATCATGTGATTGGAAGGATATTTGGAAAGGATTCAGCTAAACAAGCAAACCAGCCCCCAAAAGATAAGTGATGGAAAAAATCTAAGGATGAATGGAGTTAGTATCATTTGTATGGCAGAAGACATATCTGTAGGATCATCCAATAGAAACACATAATTAATAGCTCCTCAAATTCATAGCTGGAGTTGATGAATGAGGAAGAATACACCTCCATCTGGGAATAATTAATAGTAATTTATAAACTCCTTTCAGAAAAGGAACCATGTCTTCACCTTCTTCAGTCAGTCTCCTGGGTGCCATAGAACCTGTTTTGTCCATCCAGCCTTTCAGAATTTATTAAGTACTAGGTATTGTGTGAAGGCATTTGGAGATACCAAAGAAAAATAAGGCATCCTTACCCTCATAGAACTGAAAACTTCGGGGAAGGGGGTTAAATAAGATAGAATATAATATCTCCCCTCAACAGGGTAAAATCAGAGCTCTGAGCTTATTGGTGGGCGGAATATATCACTCAGGATTCCCAATACCCAAGGGACAGAAAATCTACTCAAACAGGCTTAAAATATAAATGGGAATTTACTGGCTCTCTCAACTGCAAAGTGAAGAGTGTTCCTACATTTAGGCTGGTCAGGTGCTCAAAAGAGCTATCAAGAATCTGTCTTTCTTCACTATTCTGGCACTATCACCTCTGAGTTGGTATAATCTTAAGACAGGACCTATCTTTGTTGTGGCAAAGATAAGCAGCGGCAGCTCTATATTTATGCTATACCACCAAGGAACAGAAATAGAAAAAGAAATCCTCTTCCCAAGAATTCCAGCAAATGAATGGAGTTAGTATCATTTGTATGGCAGAAGACATATCTGTAGGATCATTCAATAGAAGCACATAATTGAAACTCTTGGGGCTTCCTCTTGTTGGGTCAACTTTGGTTAAGTGCCTAACCATGAGCTAATTATTGTTGCTGGACAGGTGGAGTAGACTTATTAATAACCATGTACTTGAAAGCATGGATGGCTCATTTACTGTTTCCCTGGAGTCCCAAAGGTGGAGTCAGACATTCAAGTCACAAGATTTATAGTGAGGAAGGAATATATTTTTCCAAAAGAAAATCAGGGTTATTAGGATAGGAGGGTATGAATGTGGGCACCTGAAAGCAACAGTGCTTTGAAGGTGGCCCAGACAGTTGGTGGTAATCTATGAAGAAAACTTGTGATCCTCAAAAGATGGTTGGGTTTGAGAGGTAGAGATGAGGGCTGGGGCACACACACTACATAATGCTTCCACTTGCGTATGAAAAAGCTTGGTCCCATGGGCATACCTAACTGCAGAGGATTGCTAAGCAGTGAATTTCCTATCAATGCCATAACAGCACACTTGAAGGAGAAAATAAGTTTCTTTTTCTTCATTGATTAAGGTATTACATATGTGTCCTTATCACCCCATTGCCCCCCACTCTCTTACTCATGCCCTCACCCCTGTTGTCTGTGTCCATTGGTTAGACTTATATGCAATAGGTTTTGATGAACAGCTATTAGCTCCCAATAGAAGGAGCAATTTGCTTAGTCAGGGAGGTATCAGTGGGCTGCACAGAGGAGGTGATGGTTGAGGTGAAGTCTGAAGGAATAGTAGGAATAAAACCAGGAGAAGAAAGATGGAGAAGTGTATGTGTGTTTTAGCTTTGAGCTGAAGAGGCAATGATCCAGGAAGAAGTACTTGCATAAATACAGGTGTGTATGGAAGAATTTACACCAAAATGTTAACATTGTCACTTCAGGGCTTAGAACAGGAAGAAGAGAACAGGGAAATTACTGTTTTGTTTTTCTTCCTGTGACAATATCACTTGACACAAGGAACTGTCATTTCTTTTGTAATATTTTAGCCTCATCAAATAGAATAAGAGATTTGCAGAAAGTGACATCTAATAAAATAGAATGTTGGATCTGAAAGAGAAGTTGGGCATCATTTCTAGAAGCTCAGTGAGACTATGTAACTTTCTTAATTCTCATAACAAATAAATAAACACTTAGATTAGAATCCAAGTTACATGATTTAAAAAGCTACTGGTTTGGCTTAGTGGATAGAGCATCAGCCTGCGGACTGAAGGGTCCCAGGTTCGATTCCAGTCAAGGGCACATGCCTGGGTTGTGGGCTTGATCCCCATTAGGGGATGTGCAGGAGGCAGCTAATCAATAATTCTCTCTCATCATTGATGATTCTATCTCTCTTTCCCTCTCCCTTCCTTTCTGAAATCAATATACAATATATATTATATATTAAAAGTATGAGGCATATAATTGTTTCCACACATCATTTTTATTCTCTCCACTTTTTCTTTGTGTGAACAGTGGCTATTTGTTGAACAGGTACTGAATGCCTGGTGTCATGGGACACCTTGGAAATATAGTAATGAACATGGCATTTGTAGGCTCTGGACTCAGTTTCATTCTAGCTCTAAATCATTCATTTATGCCTGCCATGTATTGAAGATGATATAAGCAACACATACTAGCAAGCTATCTGTTTTCATGAACATGATTATTAGCAAGCATTACATTTGAAACCATGTAATTCTGTTTCCTGGTTATCCAGTGTCAGGGTAGTAACTTTGCTGCTATCGTTTCATTCACTTTGATTCTATGTTGTTACCGTCATAATAAGAAAGAAGCAAAGGGAAGGCCAGGCATTATAAGCGAGGCCATCTGGGCAGCTTCAGCAGAGAGCTGCCCCTTTATGCTCCACAGGGAACCACTGGGGAAGGGTCCAGACAAGGGAAAGAGGAGTGCATGCCCAGTAAAGTCGGGGTGATGTAGAGAAGGTGCTTGTTTGCCAGTCTAACCTGGGAACGAAGATCGTGGGCTAGAGAGGCAGGGCCACTGCAAGTGCTGGAAATCCTGAAGGCTTCACTGGGTAAGGTCTTAGTTATAACCCTGAGGCAAAGGGTTTTTACTCTCTTGTTCCTCTTGCACTCCTACTTCTTGCTTGCTCCATGACCCACACTCGTCTGCCCTGTGGCCCAAGCAGTTGCCTGGCCCGTAGTCACGGGAACCCTGCACAGAATGGACTGCACTTGGAAACACAAGCCGTGCTAGTCAGATGCTGGACTGGACTGGCTTTTGTTATGGAGTGAAGACGCCAGGCAGTGACCT